CCTTCCTTCCTTCCTTCCTTCCTTCCTTCCTTCCTTCCTTCCTTCCTTTTCTCTCTCTCTTTCTGCCTCAGTCAGGGTGTTGCTCTGTCACCCAGGCTGCAGTGCAGTGGCACAATCATAGCTCACTGCAGCCTCTGTACTGAAGCAATCTTCCCACAGCACCTAGCTCATTTTTAAAATTCTTTGTAGAGATGGGATCCCACTATGTTGTCCAGGCTTGTCTTGAAATTCCAGGCTTAAGCAATCCTCCAGCCTCCATCTCTCAACTACTGGGATTACCAGAGCCACTGAAGCTGACCAATAATAATCCTTATAACGACCAGCAGTTGAGTGTTTGCACAGTGCTAAACCATGCTCCTGGACAATATGTATAATATGTGAGATTTTCATTTATGAATTTTCGGGAAAAAAATTTTACCACCCACATTTTTATTCTCTTGGGCTGGGCCCGGTGGCTCACGCCTATAATCCCAGCACTTTGGGAGGCCGATGGAGGCAAATCACTTGAGGTCAGGAGTTCGAGACTAGCCTGGCCAACATGGTGAAATCTCATCTCTTCTAAAAATACAAAAATTAGCCAGGTGTGGTGGTGTGCGCCTGTAATCCCAGCTACTCGGGAGGCTGAGGCAGGAGAACTGCTTGAATCTGGGAGATGAAGATTGCAGTGAGCCAAGATCACGCTACTGCACTCCAGCCTGGGCAACAAACAGAGTGAGACTCTGCTCAAAAAATAATAATTGGCTGGGCGCAGTGGCTCACGCCTGTAATCCCAGTACTTTGGGAGGCTGAGGCAGGTGGATCATGAGGTCAGGAGTTCGAGACCAGCCTGGCCAACATGGTGAAACCCTGTCTTTACTGAAAATACAAAAATTAGCCAGACGTAGGTTGGGTGCGGTGGCTCCTGCCTGTAATCCCAGCACTTTGGGAGGTCGAGGAGGGCAGATCATGAGGTCAAGAGACCGAGACCATCCTGGCCAACATGGTGAAACCCCGTCTCTACCAAAAATACAAAAATTAGCTGGGCGTGGTTGTCCATGCCTGTAAATCCCAGCTACTTGGGAGGCTGAAGCAGGAGAATCGCGTGAACCCAGGAGCCAGAGGTTTCAGTGAGCCGAAATGGTGCCATTGCACTCCAGCCTGGCAACAGAGCAGGACTCCATCTCAAAAAAAAAAAAA